TGGCTGGTGGGTTTGAACTGCCAGCCTTCTGGATAGCAGTCAAGTGCCTTAGACACGATGCTACCAGAGCTCCTCTGAAAGTACTATGGTCTGCTAAAAGAACTAACAAATCTGTCCTGGAAGAAGTGCACCCTGAATTCAGCTCCTTGGAAGCGAGAACGGCCAAACTTCATCTCACCTACTTTGGTCATGGTGTCAGAAGGAACTATTCCCTGGAGAAGGATATCATGCTTGGTAGAGTGGAGGGTCAATGAAAAAGTGGAAGGCCCTTAACAAGAGGGACTGACACTGTGGCTACAACAATGGGTTCAGGTATAATAACAAGGATTGTGGGGCTGGCACAGAACCAGGCAGTATTTTGTTCTGCTGTACATAAGGTCACTATGAGTCTGAGACAACTCCATGGCACCTAACAACACAACAAAAGCTACAAAAGAACAATGTACAGAACAAGAACAATGTGAACTGGAGGATGATTTGACAAATTCATGCTGAGAAGTAGTAACTGCAGAGGTAAGAGAAAACTGGCAAAGTGTGCTATCAAAGAAGCCAAGGAATGGGCAACTGTGTTGTATACTAAGAGGTGATATAAGTTAATGAATGGCAAGTGTCCACTGTACAAAAAATAATTAAGGTGGCCGATGACCTCAACAAAAGCAGTTTTGGCGGTGGAAACTGAGGACCTAAAGGGAAGTGGGTGATTAAGCTGAAATAGCGAGTATGATGATCTTTCAAGATGTTGAAGCTACAAAGAAGAGGAAAGGCCGGAAGGGAAAGGAGCATAATTTCTTTTCTTTTTTTAAACAGGAGAAGGATCAGCATGTTTGAATGATAATGGGAAAAAATCAGTACAAAGACTAAAATTATGGAAAGGAGAAGATACAGACCTTTCAAAAGAGAGTCACCTTTCTGCTGTAACAAGAAGAAAGAAGACAGGCAGGTTTAAAATCTAGGGGAAGGAAACTGGAAATGGAAGGAATGGCTTCCATTCTCTCAGGGAATCAAAGGGAAGACAATCCACTCAGAATGAGGACTGGTGTGGTAATTAGAGGTTTAATGAGAATGGAAAATATGTGAAATGTTTGCTGCAGAGAGTGAGGGATGGAGCACTTAGGAAATAAGAGTTAAGATTTCCATACAACATTGGGGGCTCTACTGAGGTTAAAAAAACCACTGCCATCAAGCCGATTCTGACTCATAAAAACCCTTTAGGACAGAGTAGAACTGCCCCATAAGGTTCCCAAGGCTATAAATCCTTATGGAAGCACACAGCTTCTTTTCCTGTGGTGTGGATGGTGGTTCAAAATCGCCATTTGGTTAGTAGCTGAATGCTTTAACTACTATACCAATAAAGCTCCCTCTGTTGATTCTGGGGACCATTTAATTTGCAGTGGTATTAATGCGTTTGCTGCATATTCAAGCAGCATTTACCTCCCCATGTAGAAAGTAAATGGTTTGATTATTCCATGGCTGGGGTCTGGGCAAAGGGATGAACCCGAAATACTGAGAACCAAGGGAGTTTGAGAGATCTCAAAGATTTTGCTGAAATGACAGGCTATGAAGGACAATGTGGTAAACAGTAAATATTATTCTAGTAAATAGGAATGCTTTATACATGGTCCTATGCACTCTAATATATTAACTCATTTGATCCTCACAACAATCTTTTCAGGCAGGTGCCATCATTATCCCTACTTCAGATAGGGAAAGTGGAGGACAGGGAAGTTAAGTAACTCACTCAAGATCATACAGCTAGTAAGTGGCAAAGAGGTTAAATGGTTATACATATGGCTGAAGGGCCTAGGATATCACCTTTTAACAGCACACTGGCCTTCTCTCACTTCCTAAGACACACTAAGTTGGATGGCACCAAGCTTCTGCACTTACCAATTTCTCTACCTAGAAAATTCTGCCCTTAGATCTTCAAACCCACCAGCCACTCTTTGGAAGGAAGAATGGGCAATCTACTTCTGCAGAGATATCACCTCAGAAACCCAAGGAGGGGTTGCTATGAGTCGAATCGACTTGATGGCAGTTGAGTTGGGCTACTATTGAGAGTTAAGACCTTCATGCGGCTGGTGTCTTCTTCAGCCCTCCAACCAGCTCATCTCTAGCACATCCCTTATTTTATTTCAATACCTCTCATCATCTAAAGGGAGTGCTGGTGGCACAGTGCCTAAGGCATTTGACTGCTAACCAGAAGGCTGGCGGTTCAAACTCACCAGCCACTCCCCAGAAGGAAGGTTGGGAAATCTAATTCTGTAGTGATACTGCCTCGGAAACTGAAGGAGGGGTCACTATGAGTCGGGTCTGACTCGATGGCAGTGTGTGTCATCATCTAAAATTAACTTGTTCATTTATGTTCTACTACTTTGTCTCCTTAACTAGCATAAAGGCTCCAGAAGGGTTGCTGTTGTTGTTGTTAAGTGCCGTTGAGTCGTTTCCGACTCATAGAGACCCCATGCACAGCAGAACGAAACACTGCCCGATCCCGCGCCAGCCCCACAATCCCTGCTATACTTGAGCCCATCATTGCAGCCACATTATCAAT